TTCTTTTATGACGTTTGACTGTAGAATTACACTTTTTCTACAATTCAGCAAAAAAGAAAAAAATCATTTTACAGATATTTGCTGGTGCAGTCGTGACTCGATAATCCGACCCTGAACAATCCTAAACCTTGCTATCCGACCAGAACCCATAAAAACAGCCTTAACATACCGACAGCCTTGGATTCTGACTCCGACATGACATTTTATGTCACCAATCAGGATAACGGCGTATTATCTGACTGAACAATCCCACACATTGGCTACGTTCACACTGCAGGACTTAATGCTCACTTGAGATTTCTTTGTGACTTCCTTCACGTTTCCAGTTGAATGCGACTTGTATGTGATCTGCTGTGTGAACTTCATACGACCCAAAAGCGTCCCGCATGTGCAGAAGAGGACACGACGACGTCACACGCAGCGAGCGTCCTCAGTGTTTATGGAAGTAAACATGGATGGTAACGGTGGAGCGTATCCGCTACTCCCCCACCGCCGCCGGCGGAAACAGAACTGTGACCGCTGTCCTAAATAATAAATGGTGTCCCTCTTGAGACGGTGGACGACTTTAAGTATCTGGGCTCTTGGGTTAACAGCACTAACCAGGATATCAGGGTGCACAAGGCAATGGCTTGGAAAGCGCTGAGCGGTATGAGTGTGGTGTGCAGATCAAGCCTTTCGAGAGAGCTCAACATCAGATTCTTCCGGGCGACAGTCGAGTCCATTCTCCTGTACGGTAGCGAATGCTGGTCCCTCAATACATCGCTGGAGAAGCCTCTTGATGGTACATATACCAGGATGCTCCGGGCTGCTAAAGACATCAGCAGGAGGGACCATGTTTCTAACATCACACGCTGTGATCGTATCGCCTGGAGGACACGTGGCATTACCGGCCACTGTTACCGCCATAGGGAGCTTCCTGCCAGCCAGCTTGTTCCTTTGGGAGCCATCCCACAGCTGGTGGAAGCCAGGAAGACCTGCCACCACCTTCCTGGACACCCTAAAGGGGGACACTGGTGCGACCACCTCATGACCAACAGGATGGATTGGGACCAAAGACGTGAAGCTCGGCTGAGGTCACTATGATGATGATCTCACCGCCGCTGGTGGAAAGAGAACTGTTCCAGCCACTTCCACCCCGGGGATGTGCTCCGATGGGGTGGAATTGGCTAGAATGTGCACAATCGCACCGGTCAATTAGGTGTGAAATCCAGCGATGTGTAGTGTTCTAGCAATACACTAGTTATTATAACAACAATAAATATTAACAACAAATGAGCCTTCCAGCATCAAGCCCTCCTTGTATCTTGACCTCTGTCTTGACAATCCGACAGCCTTGATATCCGACATAAAAGAAGGTTTTACGTTTAGTGTCGGATTATCGAGTCACGACTGTATTTGAAGGAAAAAATGTACTTTTTCCTCTTTTGTGCTAAATTACACATAATATTTAGTTTATCTTTCCATCCAGCAGTAGGACTCCCTCCGACTTAAAGCCCCAGATCCTCCTGATGAAAAAGAACAAAACATTTATTCCTGTTCACAATCATTTCCATGACGTGTCTTTGAGAAATCACCAGTGCAGTAACTCCAGCATTTGATCAACTCATATCTGCAGCATTTGCTCTGAGTGTCTCGTTTTGGTTCATGATTATTTCGTTTGGGAGTTTTCCTTCTGCTGCTGCGTGTTGTTTAAAAAGCACCGAGGAAGATCCAGATTTAGCAGAAATCCATCTGATGGATGCGACCAGACACGTTTTCACATTCGACCCTTTGGTGTGATGTCGCGTCCTCGGCGTGTGAAAAGCCTGCTGGCAGAGAACGAGCCCGAGGACGAGGTTTCACCATGTTTGGTCAGCTGGACTCTCAGCCTCCGAATCTGTCTTTTCTGCCGGAGGATGAAACTTAAAAACAGAAGCTTCAATCACGTTAACGTACACAGAGACGGTCCGACGTACGGCCGATGTCGACGTGTTTAAAGAACCTGGCTTCCTTCACAAGTCAGCGAGTTGGAATCAAGATTTTTATCTCAAATATATCAATTATCGTCTTGTCTCTGCAGAGCGGTCTTACTTGTTCTGCTAAAATAAACTCTAATTGAAATATCTCATCTAATCTCCGTCCAAAATCAAAACAAGCTGTTCTCACATGAGTTACTAATTATGAGAAATAACTTGAATTAGTTGTTATATTTAATTTCCTATGATATAATCTAACATAATCTCAAATTTTAGTACCTGAAATACATCAAATATTTAGAGTTTTGCTCAGAAAATCACGTTTGATCTTTAATTTATTTACAGTTTTGGCCTGATTTTTAAGGTTGACGTGTAAATTGATGCTTTTTTCCCCAGAGATTTTATCAAATATTATCTGTAATTTAGCAAAACAGGGAAAATCTGTAAAAAAATTTATTTATTTATTTATTTATTTATTTGCAGCTTTAAACCCTTTAAAAAAAAAGAAGAAAAAAAAAAGCTGTAATTTTATGGTCAAATGCTGTAAAATAATTAATATTTACATACCTTTTTCTTTCAAATAGTGTCAAATATCTGTAAAGATTATTGATGTGGACATTATTTACAGTTTTTTACTTGTTTTTATTTTATATTTTTTTATATAGTTTACATGCAATTTGATGCTTTTTACATGATTTTACAGGATAATTAATTTTTTTAAAAAGGGAAAACCTGCAAAATAATAGTAAATTATTCAAAAAAATTCCAATAAAAACCTTTTTTCCCTCCCCAGTGTAGTAAAGCATGTCAGAAGTGTTTAAAGGCTCACTCTAACTGTTTTTGTTGAAGGATCGGCCTAATCAACCTAAATCCCCTCTGCCAGCGCTGGACGGGGCTTTTGTGTGTCAGGAGCTCTGGCCTGGATTTACTTCAGCTCTTAGAGTTCATGTGACTCACCAACCTACACACATATAAACACCGCCCGGCCATGCAGCTAAATCTGGAGCTGCCTTATATGGCTGCTTTTCCCCCTCACATGAGTTCAGGGTTTGCTGCTGCTCGGTGTAGTTTTGTTTTTTTTAGGCGTCGCTGCTCCGTGAACCCTGCAGCCTGCTTCATTACTAAACTGTCCGGAGTTACAGGTTGTTCATAGCAGAGTTGATGAATTGAAGCTCTGCAGGTTCTACTTCCTCCTTTATCGTCTCTTGAACAGAACCTTTTACCGTTTCTGGGAAGTGAGAAGAAACTTAGATCGACAGCTAATGTTTGTAAAAAAAAAAAGCCATTTTTGATAAGGGAGCTGGAGGCTGGTGCACATCCTAGAGCCCTCAGAGGTGGTTTTTGGACTTGACAGTGGAAAAAGTGACTTCAGTTGGCCGAGAGGCTGGAAAGTTGCGCGTAGGTTTGGGAACAAAGAGCACAGATGCATTTAGTTGATAATTTCCTTCAGTTTGTTCACGTTTGTTAGAATTTACTGCGTGTTTCTGTTGGTGGGATGCTCAGATGCATTTTGCACCTTGTACAGGATGAATTATCTTTTCATGTCAGCTCCACGTGCTTGAAGCTGTATTTCAGTTATAACATCAGTCGTGATTTTAGATTAAATGGCATTTTTTGGTGATTTGTGCCGTCTTAAACCTGGAGAACAAACACTACAGATGCACTGAGCTGATAATGTCCTTCAGTTTGTCGACACATTCCTGCATCAGAGTAAACGTACCAGCTTCACTGCGTTGTTCAGGTGTTTTTATTGCGTGTTTCACACTTTGCGAAGCAGGAATTATTTTTCCAAATCACCTCGATGAGATAAGACAAACATTTTCAGTTTTGCTCTTGACTGACTGATTCCTTCCAAGTTGAAAAGTCTGCAGTCGTATTGGTTTCTAAATGCTAACATTAGCATGCTAACATGCTAACGATGACAACACGCTGATTTTTAATGTTGAGGATGTTTCTTTTTTCACA